TTTTTTGTATGATACTGTTGATCTTTGGTGCAGTCATCTCATTGTCCTTTTCTCCATTGTGCCCTGGGCCCTGCTGCCGCAGGAGGTGTTGAACCTTGCAGCATGTTGAAGTCAGTGACTTGATTCCTAAATGGGATCAGAGTTGTGTTGTAGGACACAACGAGAAGATAATGATATTAAAGAATAAAGAACAGTAATTGCCTCTGATATTTTCTTTATTAATTTTATTATATGAACTCATTGATTCCCTTCAGTTCTGTGCATAGTCTATTAAGTGGTCAATTGCTAGAAGCCTTTTTCCAGATTTTACTCAGTTCTCAGGTAGACAATTTTTCCATCAAAGCTGATACTGTTTTGCCTGAGAAGGGGACTAGTAAAAAGGAGAGGGCATTTCAGAGTTTGTGCCATGTAGCAGCTTTAAGTCTTTAAGACTTCTCTGTAACCCCCGACCTGATAGAGAAGCAAAGACACCCCATCAGCTCTGCCTGGCACTCACAAGCGTGCTCACATCCAAGGTTCTCTTTGCTGTGGCTGTATGTAGGTGCTCCTATCTATGTCCCAGTAAATCATTAATGTGCCGTTCTTTTCTCCTCCTCACTTGACTACACGAAGCCTTCTATCTTCAGGTTGTCAGATTCCTAAACTGTGTTGAATCCAGGAGTCTTCCCGGCCCGATGCAGCGTTTCCAGGAGATTACGTTATACTGCTCTCTAGTGGTAAAATATTCTGCTCTCAGCCCTCCAAGGCAGGCACTGCCTTCTCTGTGCTGCTCTCACCTTAATAATGTCCTTGAAGGTCAGTAATGTTGTTCTGGGTTTGCAAAGGTTGTAACGATGTACAGGTGAAAATTCCACGAGTTACCCTGTTGATAATTAACTCTTCTAATAGGAGAAAATTCACATGCTTTTTTCTGCACTCCTCCAAAGGGATAAGTGTAGAAATAAAGACGTTCATAAGAAACAAGTATCGTCTCCAGCCAGTGTCACTTTTTCCCACAATGAAGCAGTAATCTGAGGGACTTTAGATCTCCAGAGTACAGCAATTACATAAGACTTAATTAGTACAGACTCATTAGTACAGATAAATGAAAAGGTGTTTCTGTTTTTGTCTCTCTGTTTTCAGAGGCCACTCTTCAGGACTTGGCAGATAGACAAATCATCAACATAAGTCATTTGAGTGCAACAACTGGATAGTGAATGTAACATTGATCAAAGTTAATTTGAGGGGTGGCAGATGTGTGTGCGGTGGGCTGTAGCTCACTGTGTTACAAAGTATTGCTCCAAAGGCATCCGTGAAGGATTTGCTGTGGAGGAAATAGCAGGAATGCAAGTTCTGTGATTCGTCAGACAAACCACATTATTCTGTGCCTGTGTCCTGTAGTAAATAGCTGTTTGCATGGGTGGCTTGCTTTGTATGTAATAGCTCTCTGACATACAGGGTTTTAAGATATCAAAGTGTTGCTTAGACTTTAGTACACATATGGTTCACCACCTGTGTGGTTGTGATGACCCACCCTTAAGGGGAAGGAAGCACCTAAGATTCATAAATGCTTGTGGTCAAAAGGAACAGCAAAAGTCAGAGGGTTCACAAACAATCAGAAAGTTTTATTAGTAAATTACACACTTGGCATGGAAATTGGTATGTTACTCTTCTCTGACCTAGTATATAGGCACGTGGCAGTGGGTTTTGGATAAAGGGGTACGGTGAAAGGGAAGAGAGAAAGGAAGAGCTGAACTAAAGAGGAAAAGAGAAAGAGATCACCAGTCCTGGTTCTAGTGTTGATCCAGCTGATGGGATATCAATCCTGGTTTCAGCGTTGGTCCAGCCAATGGGATGTCCTGGGGAGTGCAGTCCAGGCTTGGTGGGGGTATCTTTTTATGGACAGGTTTCTCCACCCCACGGACATGTTTCTCACTTTCTATGCAAATTAGTTATCATGTGCAGTCCATTCTTTCAGGCCTTTCTGGAAATAGGTCAGAGGGCTTTGGGAGTCTTTAGTGGTCTTAATCTCCCACTATAGTCCTCGCCTACTTCTTGGCCTCATTGCTGCACTTGTGCTGTACTGTGTTGTACTTACCTTCAGGAACTACAACAAAGATGTTTGTCCCAGAAAAGTGCTGCCCTATCTCCGCGTGGTCCCCCTTCTCTACCCCCATCTTGTTAATACCAACAGTCCTTGGTTATTACCAACAATTCTTGTCTGTTGTTGCCAACAGTCCTTGGTTGGCTCCACATCCATCCAGGTAGCAGTGTTTGAGACATGCACATCTTCTGGGATTCTGCAGTGGTCCACCACTACTTGAGTTATCCCTCCCCAGACTGGCCAAGGAAGTGAGGCTTGCTGACAACTGACTTGCTGCTGAGGCTTGAGATGAAGCTGTTCGTCACAGGTTGGAGCCATGGATATCCACCTGCATAAGTGAATTGTGGATAAAGTTCACCAACAGCTGTTATTTTTTGATCACTTACAAACACAGGACTCAGTACTGAAACCAAACAGCCCTCCTGTACATGGTCAGCAGGGGAAATATAAGCTCCTCACTTAGGTATTCCCAGTTGCCTGGGGGAGGGGGATTTGCTGATTGGGATGTGCCACACGAATACTCAGATACATCCCTAAGGTGAGACAACATGAACAACTCGGCCTTACAGCAAGGCCAAGGTACATCCTCTTTTAAAAGAGATTTCAAATTGAAAAATAGGTCTACTGCATATCTACATTTATTACTTCTTTTTTTTATTATTATTGGGGGGTGAGAGGAGGGCAAGTGTTTATTTGGCAGCACAGTTAAAAAACCCTGGCAAGAAAGTGCAATATTTCAACAGAGTGCACAGTACAAGACTTGAGCCTTCAGGGTTTTTCCTGTGGTTTGTTTTTTCAGTTGGTTGGTTGTGTTGGGTTTTTTGTTGTTGTCTTTTTGCTTGTTTGTGGGGGGGTTGTTTTTTTTAATAAGGAATAACTGTATTGCAGCTTGATATGTTGTTTGGCTTATGTGTGATGGCTTTTCCATACATATGTGTTTTAAAAAGGGAACCAAATTCCTTCTCATACTGGGTATGTCAGTTTTTTCCTAAGTAGCATATCCTGCTAATTTTGGTTCATCACATGACCTGATTTTACCCCACTGAATGCATAGAGTTTTCTCTTTAGAAGCTGGGAAATTCATCCCTTAACTGTATTCCTAAAACCTAATCCTGCACTGCTGTAAGTGAAGTCAGCAATTGTCTGCCTTCAATTCTTCACTAAATATGGAAGATTTAACCCATTCCCTACTCTTTTAATGGAACTTTTCATTTAGGTCTTTTAAGTTTGTAAGGGTCAAGTCCTTTAAAAATTAATTACTTATCATGTAGCAGTGACAAAGTCAATTTTTTTCAATTAAATTACTTCTAAATTAATATTGCTAATATTTTGTAAAAAATTATCCTTATGTTTCCCTTATATTTCCCCATCCTGTCTTCAGATTTTTAAGTTTATAAGCCCTTTTTTGCTGATTTACATTCCCAAATAAGCTATCTTTTTATATACAAGAAATAGGGGTTTTTTATATGTGACATTAAAAACATGGAACTTTCTTATAACAAATACTGTAGATACTACTGATTTATTTTAGTAGATTTAACAAACTGTTTCTCTTTGCTCTTACATGAAGATCAAACCGCTTATACTAGGATTTACAACTCATTTTCGGGAATTTTCTATCAGTATTGACTGAGAACTCTATTTACTATGCAGATAAAAATAAGTAGTACAAATAGGCTTAAGGTTAAAGAAAATATTTGAACAGAAGATAGTACATGTGAAAAGTACATGTTGGAGTGGCAAAGGATTGGAATGAGACTCTGGGTTGACCCAGACCAGTATAGCCTCATGGAAGTTAATAGACCTATCCCAATTTATCTGTGGAGTTCAGAAACAAAATAATGAAATTAAGCTTCAGAGAAAAAGGGAGAACTGCGGATGGGACTTGGAGTATGCAGTGAGGAAGTCTGTAGGTTGCAGGAAGAATACACAGGAGAGATGACAGTAGTGCTTCAGCCACTGGAATATTTTTTTCTCTGGTTCTGGGAGTTGGCTAATAAATGAGGTTTTTATATGTGAAGGGTCATGGACTAGTAAAGAAGGTAGTTTAGTTTGTCTCTAGTCATGTTTAAAAATAGACTTAAGTGGTGCAGCCGCTGGATGTCTCTCTTGTTCCACTTTCCTGAACAAGGACCATCCTTTCAGAGTGAACAGCCTACATCACTGAAAGATAAATGGGTCAGTGTGGAAAGCCAGCTGTTCACTGCTGCCCAACTGACTGCAATGATATGACACACCAGTCCAACTCTCAGTGTGAGAGACTATGAGATATAAGCAAGATTAACAGATAAGAAATGCATTTTTCTTCCTTTACAAGGGCACTTTTTACCAGCCCATTCTTCCCGGTTGGGCTCTGTATCACTGTACTAAACCTGCTGCCAATAACTGAGTATTATTTGACAAAATAAGTAAAAATCAGTACTGCCTTTCTCAATAGTTACAATACGTAAGCAAATACTATGTTAGGCTGGGTAGTGAAAATGCACCAGGTACACTTCCTTTTTTCCTGACAGGGGTTTCTGGCTCAGGTCAGTTGAAGTAACTTCAGATAAACAAGAACTAGATTTCCCTTTTCTGGAAAAGTCTGCACCCACTATTTAATTCTCTGTTCTGAAACAGAATTGAGAGAGACATACATTTGAAACTTCCCATGAAATCCTATTCTGGAAAAATAGGCATTAAGAGAGACTTTTGGTTACCTGTGTGAGTTGAGGGTACAGGAGCAGGCCTTTGTTTTGCTCAGCTGCTGCATTGCTTAAGCGATGGAAACCTTTCGCTATGCACATTATCAGCTTGCGTTTGTTTGAGGCATCAAAAATAAATGAATGCAGGAAAACGCTTAAAAAATCCTTTTGAGATTAAGAACTTCAAGGTCTCTGACTTGCATAGAATCGAAGGATTTTGTACTCCTTCATAGGACACAGCTTTCCATGATGTGAAATACAGGGGAGAACAGAGTAATGCCCCAGGCAGTGATTTCAGAAGGACCTGTGAAGGTGAGTGTTGAGAATTTTGTGTTTCAGTGATTTTGCTTGGCTAATACAGGAATTTGGGGTTAGAGAGGAGTGTAATAGAGATCTTTAGGTTTCAAGGTAATGTGATGACTAGATAATTGTTTCCATTCTTCAGTTCTCCACACTATTTTCAGAAAGTTTCATCTGTATATTGTGAAATAGTATGTTTCCTTATATTCATATTATGTGTTTAATTCTTTAAGTTAAAAAACAACTTAGATTACAAATTCTGAATCCTAAAAGTCTGATATGTCTCAGAATTCTTATGGATATTTTTTCCTGTCTATTTTTCTTAGTACATATGAAAGAAGTTACATAACTTTTTACTTTAGTTGTTGGCCAATATTTGAGCTCCTCTAGTTTATTTATGTCAAAAATGTTTATATGAAGTGATATATCTTTGTGTACATTCTTTGTAATCAAAGTAGGATTAAACTGAGGTCCTGTTTTCCCGAATGTAGCAGGAAAAAAGACAATAGGAAACAGCTCCTTTGGCAGTAGCCCAAGCCTCTCTTTTCAATCAGGGCTGCACTCAGAAAACTCTTGCTCCCTTTTTTCTCTCTTTGTGGGAATTCAGGATCATTCTACAAAGTGCTTCACTGATTTGGGGTGTTTTCTTCCCTGAATATGTAACATTTCTGACTGGGCCACACCATTTTGCTAAAACTATATGCACATACTTTTGTGTTTGCATCCACATGGCTCAGATTTTTTTTTTTTTTAAATTTATCTGTCTTGTGGCTGGTGCTTGGGAGATAAATACGTATTTGTCTGCATCCTCTGTTTGCCACAGCTATATTTCAAAACCATTTTTTTTTTCTCTAGGACTACAAACCAGTTTCATTCCACTCTGTTTCCTGTCGGTTTTCTCTGAGGCTATCCAGGAAAACAGGCAGGGAAAATGTGCCTCCCACTTCTTTGTAAAGGGCAGGTTTAGGAACCAACCTATTACTGTATTTTGAAATGTGCTGTTGTCAGTTCTTTTGAGCTCCACTTCCTTTTAGAGGACCTAAATGGCATTTGGTTTTTCAAGAAGTTTTGGTCTTTCTTATCTCCAACAGTGAAATTTAAAGAATATCAGAAGTGTAGTTTAACAGTCTAAACTAAGCCTTAAACAGGGGAGGTACTCGTTGCCATGTTCTTAAAGTCTAGGGCAGACAAATCTGCATTTTGCTATACTGAATACTTAAAGGCCTTTACTCCTTCTGAGTTTTAGCTTTTCTAGGTTAGTATTGAGAAAGATCTTTGCCTAATCCTGATTATGAATAAAAACAATAATCAGAAGTGGTTCCTTAGTGCAAAAGCCAGATTGCACGGTTGTTATCTTAGACTGGCAGTGAAACCCCTGGAGAGTTATTTCATTATGTAAATTAGCGTGCAATTAGAAAACAAGGTTGAATTTGAATTTTTGGGGGGATTTTGGTTTTCCCCCCAGCAAAATCAAGAATAAACATCATCAAAACATATAGTTTGTTTCTATAGCTTTTAGCTAGATTTAGCAATTGCTTCAGAGTTCATCATTAGTTATCCTGTAGCGTATCTTGCAACAACATTTGCCAAAACTTTCAGTAGTGTGGATGCCTTAAAATTCTTCAAAAGGAGACATGAAGTGAAAGGGATAATAATATACATGTGCAATGCAGCAGCAGAGCTCTGAAATTCCAGTGTGTTTCTAGCCAAAAGCAAACACCCATTTAATTTTAGAATTCTGGAAGAAAAGTTGATCTATAATGATGTTAATAATTAGAGAGGTCCTTTTTTGGTGCTTAATCTAAATAGCATAAAATATATAGGCTTTTGAGCACCACAGAAAACATTAAAGCTGATAGTGTAGGAGGTTATTGTGGTCCAGGGAAAGGAGGAAGGACTGGATTCTAACATAGTGAAAATCAGCCTGGGTCAGTTGTAGCTCTGTATTTCTCTGATGTACACTGGTTGAAAATTGGTTTATGATTTCAAGTTGCATAGAAACAAAGCAAACAAAAGAAAAACCTGCTATGAAAGCATCAATCTAGGAAAGCATTTGAGGAAGAAAAATACAGTGGAAACAGCACTCTTTCTAAATTAAATTTACTATTAAATTTAATAAAGTTTTCTAGTGGGGAGTTCCTGGAAAATGTGGACTGAAATGTGAAGCAAACTTTGATTGCTCTTTTAGCTGCCTTGATGGTATATTTACAAGAACTAAATTTCTTCATTTCTTTTTTTTATTACCTCTAAAGAAGCTTTCTAGAGAAAAATACCCATGCTTCATAACCACCTGAAGGAGCATTTGCTTGTTTCCAAAGGAACAGCTTAAGAGTTTTATAAATATCAAAGTTAATAGGCTCCTAAAATCAAGGAAAATTGCCTGTAGGTGATTTCTACTTTTACAGAAAGAGCTACTCTCTGAACTGAAATTTTCTTTAAACTTTCTCTGCAGGCCTGTTGCCTATTACTGCATACTTTGCTGTCCTGTTCCTACTTCCTTTAGCTGTTTTAAATCAACAGTGGGTAAAGCAATATTTACATGAAATGTACTTGAGGGTAAAACATGATCTCACAAATTATAGAAAATAAACAATATTAAGTGTAGCTTGTGGCTATAGGGAGATCAGAAACAGTCTAATGGGAACACACTGGTTTTTTGAAAATGCAACAGTTATGCCACGTTGTCATAAAGCCATAGTTATGGCTGGATTTGAAGAAGAGAAAACCTTCCAAAAAGTGGCTTCCAGAAAGAAATCTGAGAAAAAATATTTTTTTTCTTGTATTGAGTTGCTATTTGGTATGCAGTAGGACCTGCTTATCCTTTATTTTTGCTGATTCCCCCCCCCTTGATTTTAGTTTTAATAGTGTTAAGGCACCTAACAATATCGATAAACAGCTCTTGCTAAAAATATAAAATAATTATTTTCTGCATAAACATGATAATATTTATATGCCTCATAATGGTCATACTTAGAACAAGAGCTTTTTCCTCCCCTCAGAAGTGCAGGAAAACCTTGTCATTATTAGCCAGCTCACAGAATAGTGCTTATGAAAGGATATGGGCAATATGAAAAGACATGCTAGAAAATTGAGTCTTTCTGTGAGGATTTCTTAACAGACTTTGAGTCCTGGTGAACTTTCTCCTGCCAGAGCCTTAAATTAGTCTAAATGGAGTAGAGTTGATTTTACAGAAGGCAGCAGGAAGCTGAAACAGGACTGAGCAGTGCTGGTTTATAGCACAGGAAGAGTTTGGTGAAAGCTGCTGGAGCTTGTCCCATCAGGACTGAGCTGGTTCCACCCAGGAAGGGCAAGTGAACTGAGATTTAGTTCACAGTATTGCATCCCCATTTAGGATGCCCTTTAGATACAAACTAAGAGGCCCTTGCTCTATTCTTCCTTACTGTTCCAGGTTTTGGTAATTTCATTTTATGTGTAGACAGCTGTTTATCATGTTAGATATTTGTATTTCACATTCCTTAAATCACCTAAATTCTTTGTCGGTGGGGAAGAAACATTCATGAAGTTATTCATCTACTGTCATGTTTCAGAAGTCTGTTATCTGAAGTTTTACGTAGGAGCTTTTATAAAAAGCTTTATTTTTGAAAGGTAATCCTAGAAGTACATTGTTACTAATAACATCCCCGGGGAGACTGCTTCCCTCTGGAAAATGTGTGCCTCCTTAGCAAAGATGATGAGATGTTGTAGTCTTAAGAGGGAGCTCTTAATTCCCTCAGTTGCTGTTTTTTGACAAATCCGTCCCTGATGCTCCATTGTGGGGTGTAGTGTACAATAAGGAAAAACATTTTTATTCCTTAAGGCAACAAGTAAGCCTCTTCCTCTTTCCATCCATTCAACTGCAGTTGAACAAAAAACATCACAGGAACTTAAAGGGAGAAGTATAATTCAATGTATATTTCTTCTAGTCACTATGTACAATATAAAATAATACTTAATTCCCAACAGTTCACTCTGAAACGTGTGTTTCTTCTTTCCCCACTTCACTAGTCTGAAATAATGAGGCAGGAACCAACCATGCAGTTAGGCTGGCTCTGGTCTTCTCTTACTCTGCTGTGGCTGACAACATCAAAATTTGTACTACCTCTCTCTTGATGGGGGGGTCTTTTCAGTTTGCTCCACATTGGCAGGATGGAGGCCTACTGTGTATTTTTTTCTGTCTGACTGGGGAAGCTGAAACTTAGCATCCTTTGGACTTCTCCACGTTTTGTGTAGTTGAATTGTCTAGAGTGTTAATCATCATTTGATTATTCTGACATTCTTGATGAAAAAATATATGCATTAAAATAACAATGTAATTACAGAATCCGCTTTTAGCATGAATATATTTCCTCTTAGTGACATTGAAATTATTTACTACTGAAATATTTGTATATTATTTTGACAGATATGCAGTGGGGTATGAGTAATTTTAAGGTGGCAGTTTACTCCATACAGCTTAAAAGCAAGGATTTTCCCCCTCCCCTTTTTCCCCATCACATTTTATTATTAATGGACACATTTGAATTGTCAGCTTTCCCAAAGCCTGGGTGTATGGGCTGGAATGATCAGATTAATTGCTTAACCATGTTGTCCCTAACTAGGAGTACTGAACACCCTCACGTTCTTGCTTTATCTTTTCCTTACAAGTTCTTCTGGTGTTTTTTTTTATTCATCCTGTTAGTTTAAACATAAGGATTGCAAGCCAAAATAGCCTGTAATGTGGAAATGTAGGCTTCCAGGAGCTGTGTGGGCTAGGAATAAACTTTTGACTTTGTCTGGAGGCAGGATGCTAAGACAGCTCAGCTGGCAGGTTAATGGTGATTGTCATGAATATTAAATGATAGAACCAAAACAAAACTCCCAGAGAGACACTTATGCACGAATCTTACATAGCAACACAACCAGCTCAGACAGCTGGCTCTCTGTAGGCTTTCCTGAAAGAAAACAGTGCTGAGGCACATTGGGATGATTTTTATAAACCGGAAAGCCAATTTGTGATGCACTGTTTGAAAGTT